GCTCTTAACACGCCCCCTCAATGTGATAAATTTTCTAGCTTAACAAGCGGACTAGACAAATTGGGTGATGTAAAGCCTGTGTGGCCGTTGGGCTTCACACATGAGACAACATGCTCTGGTACCATAAACAAAGCTGAGATTTTACCATAAAACCAATTCACAATGTGAGAATAGCCCAATTTACCTTGGTGAATTAAAAATTAGGTGAATTTACCTTGTATGATACTTTTATTTTATTCAAATTTCAAATAGTCTCTAACTTACAAGGAGGGAGATTGAATTTGGTTGCAAGGAAGCGGGTACTGCCATGACCAATTAGCCTAACTCAATTATATGCCTACTCTCTAATGTTACGTGGTTTGAAATAAAGGAATAATTGGGCTAAATTGAGAAGGAAAAATAAACCATGTGTTTATTGGTTAAATTAAGATCTTCAAGGAAAGCCCATGCCAATGGAATTGCAATTTGATTGAGATTTCAAGGTCTTCAAATGGTAAAGATCTTTTCTTAAATTACTAATTAAGATGATTAAAGTTGCCATACATGCATAAAAGATCTGTGATTTATCTGGTCAGTCTTAGAACCAGATGAAGAAAGAGTTACTCTTCCGTCAAATAGGAGATAAATTAGGGGCTGACATAAAGTCCCTTTCATTCTCACCGCATTTTCTTCATTTTTTTGCCCTAATTTTTTTTCTTTTGTCAGTCTTCCTTCCCCAACAGCTCCCTAGGTTTTAAAACTCAACTTCCAATTCTACTCCCACAGCCAAAACAAAAGTACCATACAAGATATGGAAGGGGTTTGCTTTCAATCCTTTCAACTCTTACAATATGGAATGCTAAATCTGAGTCTAATCTCATTGCTAGTACTGGAACTGGTGTTTGTATTATCAACTACATCAACAACAACATCAGGAGGAGATCATCGTCAATTCCTCCTGCCTCCTCAAGCCCTGCCTGGCTGCTCCGACCACTGCGGTAATGTCACAATTCCCTATCCATTTGGCATGGCTGAAGGTTGTTACCGCGGACCAGAATTCTTTATCAATTGTACTTCTACTACTCCTGCCGACATTAATGTTAATGTCCACGAACCCTCAATAGGGCCAATACCTCTGATCAGGGCTAAAGACAGTCTAGTGAGGGTTACTAACATATCTCTTGATGGTGAGTTGCACATTTTGCAACCTATAGCCCGTAAATGTGGTAACAAAAATTGGAAGGAAAGTAGACTCTCCCTGCCCAATCCTTTCACCATATCCGATTCCAAAAACAAGTTCTTGGCCGTTGGGGCTGCAATGCTGCAGCATATATTGATGGTTACTGTCGGTGCCCAAATGACACGCTCCGATCCTGATGTTCTCGAACACTAGGGTAGGTACGTGCTGACCGACACCCGAGGGTGACGAAAGTCATTTATTGAAAACATGAGAACAAGAATAAATATGACTTATAAATTCAGGGGTGTGCTATCCACACAACCCATTTTACTTCTCACACACCCTTTGATAATTTCTATCCGTTGATCTTCTTCAATTCATCCGATCCGACGGTCGAAAATTAAAAAGGTATGTGAGAAGTAAATTGGAGTGTGTGGATATCACACCCCTAAATTTAAATATAATTAATATATGAAAGAGGAACGTGTCCAGAGTATACAACTAATTTAAAACACTAAAAAGAAATAATATAAAATTGAATGAATGAAAGGATGGGTCCTACACAGAGAGGACACAAAGATGCCGATGCGGAAGTGTCTTGATGCTGGAATTGTACGCCTCGAATCTAGATCCTAAAGGGACGGAAAACAGACATGAGTGTACCAAGTTGATATATATAATAAAAACAGTTATCAACATACTAACCCCCAAACTTTTATGGAAATTCAATAGTATAATATGTAGTAGGTTTTCCGAAAACCTTAGCATACCATAAAACCTTCATAAAACATATCTCGTATATAGTGTGCTAGCTAGTGGTATCAGTATCAATATCAGTATCAGTATCATATGGCCGAAGCCACCAACCTACGCTCGGCCGGAGCCAATATAAGTATTTTCCGACCGAAGCCACCAACCTACACCCGGCTGAAGCCAATATAAGTATCATCGCCTGTAGGCATAATAGTGACCACTAGATATGCACAAAAACATTGAATATAAGCTTTCCAAACATAGGTACATATATCTCAAAAACATCTTCATAGTATAAAGTCATCCATCATCTGTACTATAAAGAAGTGTGTAAAAACATGTTCTAAATAGTATATCGTCATTCATTAGATATCCTACAAAGAACATGGGTTCGATAGAAAATATCGTATTCCAAAATATTCTAAGTAAGCATGATAATCATATAAGGCAAATCCAATGTACTAAATCAAACGTTTCATAAAGCGTGCTCATTAAATCATGTTTTTCATGTATGGATTTCTACTATTTAAACATGCATTTTAGAAGGGGTCTACTCATAGATACTTCACCGCCGAAGAGCCATGCAAACTAGCGAAGTCGAAACACCACAAATAATTGCACCTAAGCATATAAAGGTACCAATTAAAAAAACTCTATTAAAACAATTGAATTTTGGAAACGGACATCATAAACGGATCAAGGACGTCAAAATTAGCCTAGAAGGGGTCTCGGACGATCAACGATCAAAGTCAACGCTGACGGTCAACGGGTCGGTCAAACCGAGTTTGGTTAAATAAGGCCAACAGGTCAACCGGTTAGGGTTAGACCGGGTTGGGCTTTGGGTTCTTGGGCTTGGGCTCTTGGGTCTTTGGGCTTAAAGGTATTATGCCTCTAGGCTTGAAGGCCCGTCCCAAACTAAAAGGGTTTTGGGGTTTTGACTAACTAAAAATAAAAAGGGTTTGCGTTGAGGGTTTTGCAGGCCAAGGGCCCAAGGTTGGTCACGGCCCGAAGAGCCTATAATCAAAGGGGTTTAGGTTTTGGGATTTCACTGGCCTTGGGCTTGGAAGCCCAGCCCAAAGGAAGGCCTGAAAGCCTAGGTTGGTTTCTCACCGAGGAAGGAGGTCGGAGCCTTCTGTGCTCCGATCAACGGCAAAACATCACCCTAGACTCCGATCTAGGAACCAAAATGACAAGTGAGACAAGGGGAAGAGTTTCATACCTATTTCACGTCGTGGGGTGGTCGGAGTTGGTCGGAATCCTACTTGAGAGGCACGGGCTCACCGGAGAGATTTGGGTTTCCTCTAGGTGTCCCAGAGCTTTGCAGAGATAGGGGAGAGAAAGGATGAGGTTCCAGAGGTGATGGTGGTGTCGTGAGTGTGAGGGTGGGTGTGTATGTGTGTCGCTGAAGAGGGAGATCCGAGGGAGGGTAAGAAAGGTGTGAGAGAGAGAAAAGTGAGTGAGCCGAGAGACTCGGGGAAAGAGAGAGAGATAGGGAATGAGTTAGGGTGGTGCCACGTGGTAAACGGAGAGAGAAAGGAAAACTAAAAGGGGAAGTTCGAATTGGCTAAGGATAAGGGGACCAAATTGTACATTTCAAAAACTGTTAGGGATAAAGTGAAATTACAATTTAAAATTAGGGGTGGGTTTCACACCAAACCTACACGGAGGCCCTGACAAAGAAATAATTCTACCAGCTAGGCCCAGTACACATTGATCATGTGAATATGCACAAAACTACATTGGGTTGTATACTAAGATGTGATTTATTTTTTGAATTAGATGTTTTATTAAACACCATAAGATAGTAATAGGGTAACAAATCTATCAAAATTCAAACGTGAAGATCAGGAACTAAAATTGCGTTTTAATTAAAAGACACGCATGCCTAATTAACATCACGGAGCATAAAATAAAAAAGTCTAACAAATTCCAATGTAATTAACTATAAAGTACAGAATTCTGCCAAAAACAAGGACACGAAGCTAAAATGTGTGCTCGAATGATGTGGGCCTTGGTAAAAACCTTCTTGAAGAAAACCAACTTCAACATAGACCAACTTCTGTATATATATGGCGTTCACCACCTCCATCATTTCCATAACCGCGACACTTTAGTAACAATATGTTCAAGGTTAACTCCAAACCACAGAAGATAGTAATTAAGAAACCTACACCAAAGATATAAAACAAATTACTAAACCAAAATAAACAACAGTATCAGAACATAAACCAAACTTAGAAAGAAAAAAAACAACTATAAATCAAGATAAATCGTACAACTCACCAACACTAGGAATAATTGACTCGGAGAAGACTTATACAAAACCCGTATGGCTGCCTCCAGCATCGGGGTCGTGCAATTGGAGTCCCAGCTTTCCTTTTGAATTTTCGGACATGATTGTGTGATGATCGTACATACTCCATGAAGAATTCGGTACTCGAAAATAGGTCTTCGTACACTTACGATGCCACATAGTGATGATGCCATCGCATTCGCAGCTCCGTTGCATAACTATCTTCTTTGTTACATTCTTATCAGACTCCCAAGCATCCATCCTCAATTCCAATGCTCAATCACTGGGAAAAAGGAAACAAAATATCCACTTTGAACATGGAAAGAGGTTTCCTGCTTCGACCCCCAGACCACTATTCCAAGGAGAGGAAGATTCAAATCTCTCCTATGCTTACAGGGAGATCAGGAAGGTCCGAACAGGGACGAAACGGCTAATAACAAGAGGGACCTGCGGCCTGCCTAAACCAATATTCCTCGGTATTCCAAAGAGAGGAAAGTTCGAACCTCTCCTATGCTTACAAGGAGAGGAAGGTTCGAACATGGACGAAACGGCTAACACAAGAGGGACCTGCGGCCTGCCTAAACCAATATTCCTCGTACTCATGGGATTAATACAAACGAGTAAGTTTACATTACCCATTCAAACAGGGACTTGTGTACCAGTATATAATATATGCCCTCCCCATGAACGAATCACAAAAAACAGAAGAAAACAATTATACTTTTGAGAGCTCTAACCCGTACAAACCTTGTTGCAAGCCTCCCACACAGATTTTTGGCGTTAGATTTTGGAGACATGGGTGGTACTGCCTCCACATCCAAGGTAACGGGTGTTAGCGAACAAAACGATCCGCTATGGCTTTGTGGACAGAGAAAAGACGCGCTGGAATTGGCCATAAAGAGAAGGTCTCTGTTTGTGGATGCATTATGCAAGTATAACCGATCGCTTTATGAAGTAGCAATCGCTCTAAGGATTGCAAACGTCCATTCTCAAACCAAAGATTGCTCGTCTTCGGATTCCATAAGTTCGATGAGCTCTGCAAAGGTAAATAGAGAGAAAGTAGGAGAAGAAACCCGACATCTCAAAGAAGAAGAAGGCAATGTTGAGACTCAAAGGCGTTCTGGTGATGAGAGTAGTGAAAAAAGAGAGGGAAATTTGAGTGATTATGATGTGGGTCAAGGGAGGGAATTGGTGGAAGCATTGAAAGATGTTGAGGAATATTTCATTAAAGCCTATGAATCTGGTTTGGAGGTTTCTAAGATGCTTGATGCCAATATGGATCAAATACAATCTTCTGTGGAGGAAATTGAAGAAAAATCAAACAAGCTCGAGCGTTCATTGACGACACGAAACCACCCAAACAAGCTTATGCGTTCACTTCCACTAAAACGCTCCACCTCATATAGATGTTCCTCCAAAAGCGTCCACAAATCAAGCTCCAGAGCTTCTTCAAAATATTATTTCAACAGTGGTATTTCTGAAGGCAATGGAGCAAAGACATTCATGGGCCATTCGTTCACGCTGAGGGAACTGCATGAGCAAGTTAAAATACTTCATAAAACGATGATGGCTACAGAGGAATCCAGGAAAGAATTGAAGGAATTGCAAAAGGAAAAGAAAAGAGAAGGTGTGCTCAAGGGTACTAGGGATAGTACAGGAGCTGGAATTGCGAAGTTGGAGGCCAGAATCAAGGTTTTTGAAAAAGAAGAAGAAGTACAGTACTCTGAAATTCATAGGCTAACAGATAAAGAGATGAAGCCACAACTTGTTGCCTTGTTTCACTGCCTAATGAGAAATATGAGAATCGTGTCGGAATATCATGATGCCCAAACCAGAATCATGAAGACAGTAAAAGTGCCCGACGGAGTGTTCTGCAGTGACTCACACCAGCTTACTACCTACTCTAAGCTTGAAGCAGAAATTCCAAAATGGTGTGCTTGCTTTACATCATATGTCTCTTCATTGAAGGCCTATGTTGAATCTCTTAATGACGGGCTATTCAAGTTTGCTGCTGCTAACAACGACAAGCCTTCGCTATATCATCATTGGTTAGTTTGTTTGAATAAACTTCCATATAAAGATGTGACGTCTGCCATGACAGAGTTTGGGAATGATGTCCGAGAGCTGATGATTCAACAAGGCGAGGAGCATAAGCTACAGAAAACGGTTGACAAACTTTCCAGAAAAATACATGAAAACTCAAAGAAGGAGCATTTGAAAAAGAAGGTAGATGAAGGGAAGAAGGAGCAGTTGATTGAGGAGAAGAGGCAAGTGGAAAAGAAGCTAAAGGCAGAAAAGTTGAAAACGCGTCATTTCGCTGAGAGTGGATTTCAGGAAGGATTCTCCAAGGTTTTCGAATACCTGGCTAATTATTCAAGTGGTGCTACGGAAATGTATGATGGCCTTATAGCATTCGACGGAGATGCATGCGTGGGGATTGATGACGAAAGTAACAGCAACTCATCAGAACATGTTACAGGCAATTTCATATGATAGGCGTTCAGAATCTTTTATTTTTATTCCTTTTGGTGATGAATAATATGTAATTTTTGTTTGTTTGTTTGTCTTAATTTAAAGTATATTACATATGGAACATTTACAATTAAAATTGCTCTGCTTGTACTGAAATTTTCGATTTGTGATATGAAGATAAACTAATTGTTGCTGGTGGTATTATAATTTACAAGGGCAAGTTTTCTTTTCTCAATTCTCACACTGAAAATCTACCTCTTATATTGGTTTACCTATATTCTGATAACATTCACATATATGCTTTGCTTTATGTTGTGCTGTAATTTGGATATTTTCGTTTTTGCTGCATAAAATTTTGTGTCGCTCCTGTTTTGAGAAGGTGTGCATTCAATCGCAACCAGCTAGTAGTACTCGATACCGCGTTAACCACATCTTTGGTCTCATTTCACAATATTTTTTCATGACCAAAATCGTTCATTTCTTAGATTCTCATTCATAAATCATTCTTACAAAAATTTATCCTTAATATGTGTTCATTTTTTGGATTGAGTGTGATTCTGCTTTGACAGTGCATATCTTTTCAATAGATCTATTTAGTTGGCTAATTGTTTAGCCAACTTTTGTGTAGATAATGTTGGGATTAATTGGTGGTATTCTTGTCCTCCGTGTGCGGGACCTATTGTTCATGATCTTTAGAGGCTTCCGAACTTCAGCCTTCTCTTAGGAGTTGTTGTAATGATTTTCTTATGCTTAGTTATGAGTGGTCGATCATGTTTCCAGCTCTACCATTTTCATTTATTGTTGTTTCTAATGGTTTTTTGATAGTGATGGTTGGATTTTTTGCTTCCCTAACTTAATATACCTTAAGATTTTTATTTTATCAATATATTCACAATAATGTCTTTCCATGATAATAATATTGGAGTAAATTTGACATTATTGTTCTATTGAAAAAAAATTTTGACAGTAAAACTAGACAAGCATAGTGTTGCTAAAAACAAAATGAAATGTTCACAATAACAATCAAATAGATAAATAACTTCCGATTTAGACAAATTTTTACTGAAATAATCTATTAAAATGACCAATTCGGATGAAACGACCAAGGGTGAGAATGCTTTTACTTAATAATTTGGGAAGATCTCACATTCAGATGATGCGACGGTGTTCCTTGCAAATTTTATATTGTTAGATAAAATATTAATTTAGTGAAGGTCAAAGTTTTCCCTTACTTCATATTTTTTTGGCAAATCCCATTAGTTCACGTTAATCATGGGTTTTTGGTTTGTTTCAAATTTATAGTTGATTTTTATTTATTTTTTAATCTTTAGAAAGGTTCGTTGGATGTATAGGCACACGATAAATGACAAGATTAAGAATGAGGATATCTGAGGTAAATTAGGAATAGCTAAAGTTGAAAGTAAGATGAGAGAAAATCAGTTAAGATGGTTTGGACATGTGAAATGAAAACCTACGACGCTCCGATAAGAAGTTGCGATTACAAGACAGAGGCTCAGGGCCCAAGGGATAGAGGAAGACCTAAGAAGACTTGGACAAAGATTCTATGAAAAGATTTCTACTACCTAAATCTAACAGAATACATGACACAAAACTGAGCGCAATGACGTTTTAAGATTCATATATTTGATCCCACTTAGTATGATAAGGCTTTGTTGTTTTTGTTTAGAAAGGACTAGCAAAAGTGCCCACGCGGTGCTGCGGGTTTTAAAATCGTATAAAAATATATAGAAGGTTATAATGTGTATATATTCTATTTACATACATCTGAAATCTATTTACAAACCCAACCCCAAAAAAAAGGTTTCAACTTCGACATAACAAAAACAGTTTGCAAAAATCTTAGCAAGAATTAACTATATGTATGAAGGGATCCCCTATAATGAATAGTTTGCACAACCCAAGATGATTTAGCAAGAAATGAAGAACGAAAAACCTTTCCTTCTATAAAAATGAAAATAGTAAATAATAACATCAGTTCTAGACATATTTGAAGTGTCGAATATAGGAGCATACTTATTAGCTATTGGATTATACCTCGTCAATGACAAACAGCCAATTTCCGCACCATTTTTCTAGAGCTTCATAATTGGCATAGTTTGGAGCTACGTAACAAATCTCTCCACTTCTTTGAGATAGTTTCGAGCAATCTGCGGTTCCCATGTCTACCTTTGCTTAACATCTCAATGCCAAACATCAGGAAATCCAGGAATAAGACATTGGTGCAAAGATTCTCTATATTCCAAAAGATTGTTAAATAAAACCAACCAAATACTTGAGACCAAAAAAGAGAAAAACTACATGCGTGTAGAGCTATAGATAAGATAAAATTCAGTTCTTTGCGAAACCAAAATAAAACCCAACTAAATAAAAAAGGAGTATATGCAGTAACAGTCATATAAGAGTGAGTTCATCAGCTGAAATTTGGTATTTCAGATTGGCCCATTCATCATTTCTATAAAATTTCAAGCATGGCATTCCCACTTAGCAAACTAATCTTAGTATGAATAAACTGAAAAGCTATATCATTGTAACCCGAGTCAACTAATCCAATCAGAAAAGTAGTGTAATATCTTTAGTGGAATATAACCTGGTCAATCCAACAAGTTTTGTGCGAAACTCATTGAAATCTTTTGATGTCCTTATCATTGAGGTAAACTTGTAGCTCATTTTCTGCACATTGATGAAGTCGTTCCAACCCAAACTCAGCTTCACCTGCAGAAACAGAAGTAAACTAGGACAAAGCAATATGATGCATTGTCTCTCTTTGAGCTTGAGAAAATGACATACCCTGCAAGTACTCAAAACAAATTGGCATGTTCATGCTCCACCACATAACATCCATCAGCATATTGTTGAATTGTGGCCAAGTGGCCATCACCTTTCCTAATAAACAAACCAAAAGAAAAAAAAAAGGTGAAAGACAAAATGATGAGGGAACATCATGATGAGGAGACGTCATGATGATGTTTGTAAAGTAATCATTATGTCTTTACTTTGGTTTTGTTTATTGGGTGTTTAGAATGGATGAATGTGTGCATACGGAAGCAAGAGAGAGGTAGAGTGCACCATTTTCTGTTTGAGTAGCCTATCTTTGAGAGAGCAAAGTGAGCTGCAGAGAGCAGAAAACTGAGAGCAGAAAAGAAGAAGAAGGTGCTCTTCTCTTTGGTTAGTAATCACTCACCAAGGCAGTTGTTGTTGTAATAGCTTTGAGCTTTGTATAGAGAAGAAATTAATCACTATATTTCTTTCTCTATTTGTTTCTTTGGTGTGTGAAAGCTATTGGTTGTATTGGAGTTTTGGGTTGTGAGATTGCCAACACTTTGTAAACTCCCATTTGGTTGATAGTGGATATTGGGTGAGCTCCTACTGCTCCGAGGACGTACTCCAGTTACACTGACTGTTGAGGAACCTCGTTAAAATCTTGGTGTCTTTTATATTTTGTTCTTGCATTTTCATTTGATAAAATTTCTATGGGTTAGCTTGAGTTGGTTCCAACGGGTTTGGTGCTATCCTAGCACAACAATTGGTATCAGAGTATTGGTTGCTCTTGGGTACTGTCTAGTTGCCAAAGATGTCAGACGGGCAAGATGAAAATCCTTTTGGAAGCAGCTCTGGGTTTGCAAGAACTATGGTGCAAAATGCAAAATTCGAAGTGGAAACGTTTGATGGCACAAACAACTTCGGGATGTGGCAATGTGAGGTCAAAGATGTGTTGGCTCAACAAGATCTACTTGTCGCTTTGGGAGAGAAGCCGGAAGCTATGTCGAAGCCGGAATGGGAGAAATTAAATTTGTGGGCTTGCTCTTCAATTCAGTTGTGCCTTGCAAAAACTCAGAAGTATTTTGTGATGCGGGAGACATTAGCAAGTGTGTTGTGGCAAAAATTGGAAGACAAGTATATGACAAAGAGTGCAGAGAATTGGCTACACTTGAAGAAAAAGCTCTACCGCTTCCAATACAAAGAAGGTACAAAAATGATTAGACACCTGATGCATTTAATAAGTTGATTACCGACTTATTAAATTTAGATGAGGATATTAAGGATGAAGATAAGGCCTTAATATTGTTGAATTCCTTGCCGGACTCTTATGAGCATTTTGTTACCACTATTATGCATGGTAAAGAAACTGTGAAATTTGAAGATGTGTCAAATGCCTTGATGAATTATGAAATGAGGCATAGAGATAAAAATCATGATAGTACCTCTGAAGCTTTATTTGTTAGAGGTAGATCATCAGAGAGAATATCATCTTCTAGTAGGAAAAAATCACAGTCTCGACTTAGAGGAAACTCTAAAGGTAGAAAACCTTTGGAAATGGATGAATGTGCCTTTTGTCGTAATAAGGGCCATTGGAAGAAAGATTGTCCTACATTGAAGACCAAAGGTAAAGAAAATTCTGAAGCTAATGTTGATGAGGTTGAAACAGATTTTTTCTGATTTTGCTTTAACCACTTCCTCATCATTTGATTGTGCTACTAAGTGGGTGTTGGATACGGCTTGTACTCATCATATGACTCCTCACAAGGATTGGTTTTCAAGCTTGAAAGAGTTTGATGGTGGCGTTGTGTTCATGGGAGATGACAATCCTTGCACAACAAAAGGGATTGGTACAGTTCGTTTGAAGTTGCATGATGGCATGGTTAAAGAGTTGACAGGTGTTTGGTATGTACCGAATTTGAAGAAAAATCTTATTTCTTTGGGTACTTTGGAATCCAAGGGCTTCAGGTTTCATTCAGATGGACAGACATTGAAAGTTACTTATGGTGCACTTATTGTGATGGAAGCTCCTCGATGTGGCCATTTGTATTTATTGCAGGGAAGCACTGTGACAGGTGAAGCATCTGTAGTCTCTGAAAATATGGGCACATCTGATTCAGATACTACTAGATTGTGGCATATGAGATTAGGCCATGCCGGTGAGAAAGCTCTACAAGGGCTTGTGAAACAATGTCTTCTAAAAGGTGCCACGACTTGTAAGCTTGATTTTTGCGAGCATTGTG